ATTTACCATAGAAATTCAACCTTTAAAACAAAATCCAGGGATTTAGCTTAGTGGTTCCAGCCCCTGGCTCGCAAGCTGAAGGACCTGAGTTCAATCCCTGGTACCAAAAACCAAACAAGATCTATATTCTCCAGATATAATTCTCTCTTTTCATAGTTTTAAGGAGACGTCATATAAATCAAGCCTAACACTAAACATATTAACAAATACAAAAATCACCTTGACAGTCTTTTCCAGGAGAATTTATCTAATTATTTCTCTAAATAGTAACTTCTTCTAGCATATATAAGAATTTAAATTGGGAGGGAGGGGAAGAGGAGGGAAGAAAAAGAAAGTGGTAGACAAACGTTTCAAGAATACAACCATGACCAAAACTGAAGAACATTTGAAGAAGCATCTTGATATTCTTGTTAAAATTCTAAACAGTGCTTTCCAAATGGAAAAGCATCTGCCACTTTATTTTCCATCTCATGCTCAAAACAAACACACAAACAAAATAAAACATAAATTTCCAGATGACAAGAAAATGTGAGCCCCAAACAGCAGTACTTTAATCAACAACTCTTACCTGGGCACAAAAGACTGAGTACAGGGTTTGATTTAAAGGGGTTTAGACACTGGTAATTCAATACAGACAACAAAGATCACTGTTCATTTCTCCAAGGATATGTAGTTGTCTCCATGAGTGAGCTTTTGATGATCCTCCTCCAGTTTTCATTCATTTTTCACTGCAAAATTTGAAACATCACATGTGACACACAGTACTGAGAAAATGGTGAACAATCGACAACCAAAGTGAAAAGGATGCTTTCAGGCTACTCCAACCTTGTAGTTCCGCCATGCCTCGGGGTCACCTGGTCTGGAAGTCTCCTCTCCTAGGTTCCCAATGATGAGCAAGGTAAAGCACAGCTGCTTTAGGCAAGTTATCTGACCTCTTTGTATGAGGGTGATGACACTCAGAGTTATCCACTCGCAGAATGAGTGCAAGGAGTTCCTATAGTCCTTGGAACATAGCAAATGTGCCCAAACCTTCTAGGTGTTATTGAATTGAACTGGTAAACATGTCCTGATTGATTATGTTCTACAGAACAGCTACTGTTATTAAAACAACAGCAAAGGCAGGCACCATTTACAGAGGCTTAAATTGTTCTAGAATTGAAAATGGGCATCAAAATTTTGTAAAGCTTCCCCTGGTGATTTTAGCAAACACTGACCCAGGAGTTCGCCTTGTGACTCCCATGCATGGTCACTGCCTGTAGGGTCTGCTGGATTCTGATGGTACAAGGAGTTCCTGGGATGAAGTGAGGTGCATAGTCATCCATTGTGTCAAATAAGATCCCTAAGAAGGTGATAACAAGGTGTGGGGGATCCCCTAAATGGTGGAGCTTGGCTCTACCAGCTGAGGCTGGCTTGTTTTCAGTTTTTGTTGTGATAGAGGTTTAGGGGCCCTGTGAGAGGAAGTCAAACAGCTTCTGCCCAGCAGAGACAGGTGAGATTAGAAGCCATAACAGCCACTATCTTAAGAGCTGGAAATCTAATAAAATTTGACCAGATCAGAAAGCAACACTTCAATTATTTTTTATCCTTTATCTTTTACTTTTCTTGGCATATTTCCTACTTGCTGCTCTCAAATTTTAAAACAGGTTTGGGGCCATAATACTTGCATCTGAGCAAATTCTGGCCCAAGTTCCTCAGTGACTGTCCAGTTGAAAGCATAACACAAAGCTTAGCTCTTGCTCCTGGCTGGAAGGCAGCCGCACAGTAGAACTTGAGATCCAAGGCAGAGGCTCATAGGGACAGAAATGACACAGAAGAGGGTAGGATTTGATTGGTCTCCTTTCCCTGCATAGGAGGAGGGCCCGACTGAAGTTTTTAGTAGTCAGTCAGCTGACAGGTGTGGTGAGGACCACAGTGATCATCATGCCTTCCAAGAGAGCTACTGATAAGCTGAGGAATTTTTAGTTTTTGTGAGTTTTTTGGCTAGTTTGGTTTACTTGGTATGTACTAATGATCACCATCTTAAAATGTACAATTAAAATGTACTGTTTTATACCAAAAGTATCAAGCCCAGAACATCTAGAATAAGGAGAAATGGATATATTTCAACCCCTTCTACTCATTTCTTCCATCCATTCCCCACTTCTACCTGGTCAAACGAGTGCACTCACTATTTTCAGTTCAAGAATTTCTGATGTGTTTGTGGTTAAGAATCCACTTAAATTTCCCTGGGATCTCAAGATCACTGGGAAGCCAATGGAGAGACAGCTGATGATCAGTGTAGAGCTGATACAGAGAAGGGAAAGTATGGGAACCTGTGAAACCATCAGGAGAGTCCTTGAGGAAAGCAGGGACTAAGACATGAAATGGGACTGTACTATTATGCACCAAATGTGTCATCCTTGGGATCTTCCCCACCTGTAGGAGTGACTCTGCAGTTCTGATTTATCTACTTGACCTTGCTTTTTTTTTTTTTTTTTTTTTGGATCTTCCCTGGGTTTGCTGAAATATTCAGAATAAGTGCTCCTTTGCTTAAAATGAGCCAGAATCACCTGATATTTTTATACAATCAGGAGAACCTTCCTTACCATAGTCCTTCAAGATCCCTGCCTCATGAAGAATCTATGACTCAAAAAGTGAGGGTTAGAAAAAGGACAGGATGGAGAACTTCCAAGAAAGGCTTACAGGCAAACCACTGGTAGGGACTTCTTTTACACAGGAAATACATTTCCCAAGAAACAAGTCAGTTTTTCCCTTATCCTACCCATTGTTATGGTTTGGGTCTAAAAGTTCCCACAAGCCTCATATGGTCATAGGGCTTTTTTAGAGATGGCTGAATCTAGACTGTGTGATGCTGGGATTAAGGAAGTGTGATTACTAAATTAGTATACTGATTGGTTTGGCGCCGCCCTAGTCCTGGTAGTCTGGACAAGATAAAAGGGACAGAAAGACACTGTGAAGGTCACTGTGTTGACACTGTGTTGCTTTTGCTAGTGTGTGGGTGCAATAAACTGTTTCTGCTCTGTGACACCCCTCTGGCATGTGCCACTCTGCCTTGGAGCCAGCTGATTATGGACTGAAACCTCTACACACTGTGAGCTAAATAAACCTTTCCCCTTTAATTTGAGGGAGTCAGGCATTTTGTCTCAGCAATGAGAAAAGTAACTAAACATACCCATGTTGAAATCCAATGCAATCTGGCATGTGGTATTTACATGGGATATATTTTATATAGCAACTTAATAAAAGGCAAGGTGACTGTTTTTGCAACCAGAAATTAAGTGGCTCAGAATCCATCCTTTAGTCTACCAAGCAGTATGTTCTGAAATAGAAGCCTTTAGAATAGGCACTTACTGACTGGCTTCCACATTCCTCTGTGCTGAGGGTGGGGAGCCCTGGCTAGCCCTCAGGCAAGGCAATTTGTGTCCTGTGGCAAGAGTGAACCTCAAACCAGTCCTGTAAGCGCCCGACTATAGTGAAAGCACAACAGATCGTCTCATGTTCCTTCGCTCTTTACAAAGACTTGCAATTATTTTGATGGGGTCAGAGTGAGGACTATACAATACCATACCATAGGATCCTAGTGGGAGATGTATGAAGGCAGTGTCCACAAACTCTGGCTGGATGTCAAAGGGTTCTCATTTACACACCTGCTCTTTCTCCTCAGGGTTCTCCTGCCACACACCCTAACTTTGGAAAGGCAACAGTGTCAGTGGTTAAGAGCCTGGGGCTCTGAAGCCACATTGCACAAGTTTATTCTCAACTGTGCCATTCACTGAACATATCATTTTGCACAAAGTATCTGTCCTCCCTACTCCAATTTCCCTATCTGTAAAATGGAACTCATGAAAGTACCCATTTCATAGGATTATTGTGAGAACAAGTATAACCCATTTAGGACCCATGAAGTATGTGAATGAGTTCCTGGCAGTTAGGAAGCATATAGTAAGGAAGAGCTAAGAGTACAGTTAGCAAAATAGTGGAACAGAAGTTCCCAGCTTCATTCCTGTCCACAGAAATCCAACCTGCCACTATCCACAGGCAAGAACACCATCCTAAAAGGAACAGTTGTTATTATTCTGGGCCTGATTTAGGAAAAGCACATAAGAGAATACCTGAGAAATGATGATACCCCACAGTGTGGCTGTTTGCTAAATATCCAAATTGTACAGTTGCATTTTGTCCTCTTTAAGCATTCATTTATAAGAAATATTTATGATATGCGGTATATGTCTGCTGACTCTCTTGCCTCAAACCATAATGGAGGTCAAGAATACATGGATAGAGGCATTGTAGGGGTAGGAAGGCAAGTTCTCATTCAGGGACACACACCTTAAGATGAAAACGTCAAATAGGATTCTTTGTATTGTGTTAAACACTTATTATAAAGGAGAGAGAAAGAGAGAGTCCCTGATCTCATGAAGGTTTCATTCTAGTAAAAGAGATAGATTTTAAACAATAATAAATGGTGTTATACTTTATACAAGTAAGTGCAGGGTGTGGAGAGAGAAAGAGAGAGTCCCTGATCTCATGAAGGTTTCATTCTAGTAAAAGAGATAGATTTTTAAACAATAATACATGGTGTTATACTTTATACAAGTAAGTGCAGGGTACTAAATTGTATATATTGGATGAAGAGGGATTGTCATAGAAACTCATGAAACCTGAAAGGCAAACAGAAGTTACCCAGGCAGAGTCAGGAAGAAGTAGTCTAGATACAGAAAAAAATTCAATGCATGCAAAGACTTTAGGGCAGAAAGAGCTTGTGTTTAAGGTGCTGAAGGAAGTCCGAGGGTCCCTTAGATAAAGACTGAGGGAAGAGGAACTACAGGAGCAACAGAGCTGGCAGACAAATGTACAGTCACTTTACAAAGTGAAGGAAGAGTACTTGGGGGTCTCCTCCATACCTCCTGTCCACCACATTTTTAGATACTTCATTGATAACAAGAAGCTGGGATTCTTTTAGCAAATCAAGATATGAAGCACTTAAGCTGCTTACTTACATAAGACAGCAGTTAAAAATATCTCTGTTCATGCTGTGGGTATTTCTTCAGAGGATAGTTTGGTCTTTCAAGGATGTAAGTTACTTCCGAGTTACAGTCTTCCTATAACAAAACATCCAGCAATTGCATTGCCCTTAATTTAACAGAGATCAGTAATATCCAGACGAGTAGCCTTTTGTATATATGAAGACTGTGCTTTCCATATATATAATATATGCAAGATTCACTACATGTGGATATACATTCCCTCCTCCCTTCCTGCTTTCCTTCCTTTTTTCCTTCCCTCTTTTCTTTCTCCTGCCTCCCCCTGTTCTTTCATTTATTCTTTCTTTCCTTCCTTCATTTTTAAGGGATTCCTTTACTTGGAGGGGAAAATACTCCCATAGTTATGATAACCAATACTCATTCATAAGTGTCATCCCATAAATCTAGCACATGACAGTATTTAATTATGTCAAGATGACCAATTCAACTGCATGTCATGGTTAAGCATTTATCTTTCATTTTAATTCCTTTGAATTAGGTGAGAGGTCATTTAGCTGTATGTCTGTCACAGACCCAAAGTATTGGATATATCTATCAATGGATCCAGAATACTCCCCAAAGTCCAATAAAAGTCAAAAAGCCAAAACCACTAATTTATTTTTAGGAAAAGATTCTTCCATGATGTAGCCTTATCCAAACCACACAAACAACTGTGTTCTTCTCTGGACTGGGATTCCCATGCATATACGAAGGGAACATGATACAGGCCAGTGAGACGGTCTTCTCTCAGTCCTTTGAAAGGATCCCATGCTGGAACCATTGACTGATGAATGCTGAATACCGTATTAACTTCTGTTCATCCCTCCTCCGTCTCTAGAGGAGATCTAAGCTCCTCTGTCTCTTCCTCGAGGAGCGTGCAATGACTCCCATCCACTCAAACACCCTACCATGCTGTTATGGTTCTATTTAGATGTACTCAGAGGTGGAACTTTGGGGAGATGACTGCAATGATATTCACCAGGGAATTAGTCCACTGACGAGTTTCTAATTGGGTGTGATGTTGAGAGGTAAAGGATGGTGGGAAGAGGTGGGTCACCTGTGGGAATGCCTTGAGGGCCTTATATCCTTCTCTTGTTCACTCCCTGCTTCCTGCCTGCCCTGCCTTGGACTGATTCTCCTCTGCTATGCCACACTATCTTGGAACAAGCCCATTATGTACTAAGCCTTGCACAAACTGTCAGCCAAATATAAGTCTCTCCTCCTTTAATTTGTGGGTATCAGGTGTTTTGTCCTAGCAAGAAAGTGACTAAGACACATATACTCTTAGAACACCACATAATGATTTTACATTCATTTCTTCATTTACCTGATTAATGTCTGCCTCACCCACTAGATTGCAAGTTCCAGTTCCAAATTACTTCATCAACAAAGCTTTATCAGAAACTCTAACCTTTGCACGCTGCTGAACTCTGTGGGACTTCAGAAGACTGCATACCCTTTCATGGATCTTCTTCCATGTGGACTGAGAACTAGGATGGCATCTGTTCAACAGATTGAAGCCATAATGTATTATGCAGCTACTAAATGGTACACCAATTTAAACTATGTAAGAGTTGAAGCTTAAAACTTAATCATAAGACGCTGGAGATTTAGCTCAGGGGTACTGTGCCTACCTTGCAAGCACAAGGCTCTAAGTTCGATCCTCGGTACCACAAATCATAAGACGCTGGAGATTTAGCTCAGGGGTACTGTGCCTACCTTGCAAGCACAAGGCTCTAAGTTCGATCCTCGGTACCACAAAAAGAAAAAAAAAAACTTAATAATAAGAAAAGAACAGCATGCAAAATGGTACATATAGTGTAAACTCAACGACTTTATTAAGCTCATGCATAAGAAAAGTACTTGGGCAAAAAATAACCAACATGTTAAAAGTGGTTTGTATTTGGGTGTTTGGCGTTTGGTTACGAGCTATTCTTTTCGGCTATTTATCTAATGAACAAATCCAGCTTTCACATTCAAAATTTCAATCCCTAAATTTTCATATAAAAATTAATCTGCTATTTTCTACCACAAGGATTTTATTTTATATCTCATTTCCTTTCAGCCACCTGGACCCCAAACTTAACCAGCGCAGTAGGTTAATGCCCTTTCAGAGGCATTGTTAATGCGGGTCTCTACCTGGAATGTTGTCACTTCCCAATCCCTAGCCTACTCTCATTAACTCCTGTTCACCATTCAGAGCTCAGTTCAATTGTTAATTTCTCAGGAAAGTCCTCCTGAGTTCTCATCTGAAGAGGTCAGCTAACTTCTCACCTGCATTTGGAATTACATTTACCTATACCTTGGTTCTCTGTTTCTGCCAGTGGGCATTTTGTCATTATCTGGTTGGTGTATCTCTGAAATTGAGACTGAAACTCTTTGGTTAATAGTTTATCCCATGGCATAGTTAGTATTGAATACCACAGTGGTATTTTTTTCATTACATTTATTGGTATTTCCACAGTGGTATTTAAAAGGTGTGTCTCAATTAGTGAATCATTCGTTCATTCATTCATTTATATTCAGGAGAGAGGTGAGGACCAAATCCTAAATTTTGAGATATAACTAATATTAAAATGTACATATTGAAGATATACTCCTAAGTGAAATAAATAAGTCCCACATGTGTAAATACCGAATAGTTTCCCTGGTGTGAATATTCTGCAACAATGCATAAGATTCTAATAAGATTACTGACATTTAGAAATGGGAGGAAAGGAGCTAAAGGTGTAGGGAAGGTGTGATACGTAGGGGAAGAACATAAAGGGAAAAGAAAAAAATGTGAGAGAATGAAAAGATGAAAATAAAGTGTTTGTAGATGGGGAGGGGAGGAGGGGGTGAAGGGAGGGCAGAGGTAAGGGGAAAAAAATGAGAATCAAGACTTGCCATGTAAAGGTACATGATCCCAACAATGAATGTAACTGTACTGTATCCCTAAATGTACCAATAAACTCAATAAAAAAAAAATGTACATAGAAATTTGCTAATGAAAGTCACAGATACTGTTTTCTTAAAATGCCTAAAGAATGTTAAAAAGTCAGATGAAATCATTCTCTTCTATTAACGTATGACCAACATTGGAAATGGCAGGAGCACTGGGAACTGAGTTGTTATTCTGACCACCATACCAGTGACCCCTGTGTGGCTTCCCTTCTCCATGATTCTAGTCCCATCTGTCCTCCATCACAACTGTCTATAACAAGCATGTTCCACTGGTTTCCAGGGAGACCAAACATAGGGCCTGCACTATACAAATCCATCACCAACCCATGGAAACAACTCAAAGCAAAAAGAAAGCATTCCCTAAAGCATTACTGTGCTTAAGACCACAAATATCATTTCTATACTCCTCTAATAATGTCTAAGAAGACACACATATTTTGAAGTTATAAAGTTAATATTTACAATAGCCACCACCTAGACACTAAACACTTTTTTATAAGTTTTGAAAGTGCCAAACCAATTCCTACATTTGAACGCAATGTCAGTGCATATATTTGCAAATACTATATATGCATATATCTGTGTGGTATGCACAATCTTTTCAGCACTTGAGAATCTATCTAGTCTTTGAAAATGATGAGCCAACAGACGGGAGCAGTGCTGCAGCTGCCTTATATTTTCACCATGTGATTCATTTTCTCCTCATGCAGAAGGAAGTGTGAGGGTGTGTGCTGAAGGTACACGATGCTATCCAAACAGTGGAGGCAAGGGGAGTGCTTGAGATGTTCCTCCCTCCTTTGGGAATACTACTTTTCCTGAGAAAGGGCTTTCTTATTTCTTCCATTAAAGTGCTGGGGCTGATTCTCAGTCCAAAATTTGTCTCCTAGTTCATCTCTGTCACCTTGGCCCTTAAGGACATCAGTATCAAGCTAGCCAATCTACAGGGGCACACAGAGGGTCCTAATGATGCTGATGTGAAAAGGGCAGAAGAGTGGGATCCACAAGTGTTCCAGAAACCTGTATGGTGATCACTCTAAAGTCAGTGGGGAATGAAATCTTCCCCGGGCACATAAAGTGCATGTTCTCCATTCAAAACAGCTATCTTAAATATACTGTCTTTGGAGACACTCCTAGAGTTAAAATTCTTGATTTGCCCAAGACTTGGGGGCTTCCCAGGAGTTTTTGGGACGAACACTAGGACAGCGATGGGACATGTTCATCTTTGTCATAGTGGATCACAGCCTTATGCATAAACTCAAAAGTCCAAACAGATCCAAGGTTATCTGTTTAAAGTGATTATGGAAAAAAATAGTGACTTTGGGCACACAGCATCTGCACCCTCATCACAGATAACTAATAAATTATAGGGCTGAAATCAGAATCATCTCCCTAATGTGCCAGCTCCTGTGACTAAACTTTCAAGGCTTCCCACTTCCTTCTAAGCAAGCTCCTTAGCTTGGCTTCCAAGGCGCCCCCTCAGACTCTTATGCCCTGGCACCCACTACTCCCCCAGACTCATCAGCTACTCGAAGCTGACCCTGCCCTGCCGTCTTACCTCCCGTCCCTCATCTCCACAAATTCTCTCATAAGCCAATCGCCTCTCTCCAGAGCCCACAAAAATGTCACCTTCTCCACAAAACACATGGAAAGCGCCATCCTCCTCCTTTATACTCCTATAGCATTTATCTGTACTATTCAAGAAGCACTGCACTATCCAAAGGTGTTTATGCACTTTCATTTCTCCTGTTCTGTGCTCAAGAAATCAGGAGAAATGTGTTAAATACTAGTGTTTGTTTCAGACCTAGCAGAGCAATTATCAATCCTGCTCTTCTGAGATACTCTCTGAAGCATGGAGAGTCCATACTCACACATACACAATTCCAACACTAATTGATTTCGACTCCATAAACATGAAGCAATTTCTGCCAACCAGAGCTGACAGTCATCTGCACACTGCCTAAAGACCCCCATAAAAGGCTAGGTGAATGGATGCAGAAATCATCTAGCAGATTTAGGGAGAAATAAGACCTTCCCAGATCTCCCTTCTGATGGAATTACTCTCCTTCTGCACTTCTTTTCCCTGCATTTGGATTGTGCTTCTGTTGAGTGCGTACCACAATCCATTTGATATTTAGTGGGATGAGGTTATGTCTACTTTCTCATCTAGTGACTAAGCCCCTGGAAAGCAAAAATACATCACGATCATGCACAGTGCACATAACAGTTGCCCAGTAAATGCACAGTCAATTTAGTGTCTCAGAAAAACTTGCGGCACCACTTCTAAGGAGTTTGAGACACTGGGCTTCCCCCATTTCTGGCAACAGAGAAGTAGTCTCACACTGAAAGAAGATAAACCTTTGATCATTGCATTAATTTTATAGATGAAGAAACTGAAATCTAAAAGGTCAAATATTTATACGAGATCATACAGGACTTAGACAGATGTGCATTGGGTCCTAATTTCCCAATCAAAGATTTTTTCCACTCCATATTTAAAATCAATTCATTATAAGTCTTTGAATCCAGAATAATCTTCCCTACTTTGCAAACCTGCTGAGTTTCAAGCTGGTAGCAGATGTGTAAGCCAGGAGGGGATAGAGGCTGGGCACAGAGGGGTATAAATGTATCTCGGACCACCTTTCTCTTGTGCCAAAGCTGATTTTTTAAATCTATGTGGTGCTATTTTCCAGTGAAGTAAATGATCAAACATTCACCACATAGGGCCAGGGATTTAGCTCAGTGGTTCTGCCACCTGCTTTGCAAGTGCACAGATCCGAGTTCAATCCCTGGGACGAAAAAAAAAAAAATTCACCAGGCTGGGGATTTAGCTCAGTGGTTCTGCTGCCTGCTGCCTGCTGCCTGCCACCTGCCTCGCAAGCATAAGGACCCGAGTTTAATCCCTGGTACAAAAAAAAAAAATTACCATATATTAATATTTTATTAATATATTTGGTCATGTTTCCTCAAATGATTGAACATTTCAATAGTTTATTAATCCTTAAAAACATTAAAAATGGATTGCCACTTTCTTAATCTACTTCAAAATATAATTCCTGTTAGAATTACAGGGCCACTTTGGTTCTGGGATATTTTTATAATAAGTCCCTTTAAGTAACATGCTATTTTGGTATGGGAACTTCTTATTCTCATCACTAGTAATGCAGAGAAAAGCAGATTGGCACACCCTTTATTCAAAATAGCTGTCTCTTCTTTTCAGTGCCACTTCTCTGGAGTAAAGGTGACCACCTATTGTGACATGCAAGATACTCAGAGTTTCCAAGAATGAAGGACTTGTGGGGCTAACACAGGTTACACTCGAGCAAACTGGTTAGTTTCCTTACTAGGGAGCACAGTTTGGCAAATAAAGATATCTGCTCTCATTCTCTGGCCTGGTCTCCAGTCAAAGGCAAAGGTGTTTTTATCACCTGAGGTAATAAAGCAGACAAACCAAGAAACCATGTGTCTGGAAAATAAAAATACACTCATATGTTAATAACATTTGTCTTTGGGTGAAAAGAATATGAGTGATTTTTTCCCTACTCCTTTTTCTGTACTATTACTTCTTTTTCTACAGTGAACATTTTCATACCAGTAAACCAAAAACTTTGGTTTAAAATTTTATGACAGATAAAAATGTGTAAATAGTAGATACACAGAGTTTATATCAGTTAGGTGTCTACCGTATTCACAACAGACATCCTGAAATATGCTTTCCAGAGAAGAGGCTCAACTCTGACTTTTGGGTGGTTTTCACGAGGAAGTCATGTTTTCCATGAAGGTGTCACTGTTTGAATATTGCTAAGAAAACACACTGAAGTGATGAGGCTCTGCTCTGCCAGGCCACAGTGCTCTCCTCAAACAGAGAGAGGCGCAGGTGCTTGCTTGCTGCTGACCTTTCTCTTCCATGAAGGTGTCACTGTTTGAATATTGCTAAGAAAACACACTGAAGTGATGAGGCTCTGCTCCTGCCAGGCCACAGAGACAGGTGCAGGTGCTTGCTTGCTGCTGACCTTTCTTGGAGTGGAGGCTGATCCAGAGGGCTGGGAGATCTGAAATGCTGGCAGCTGGCAAATGAAGTTTCCCGGTGTAAATCAGCATCCCCCTGGTTATAGGGTGAGGACTTTCCAAAATTACGTGAATCTAAAGGTGATGGTGACTCATTCCTTAAAATAATCCGTTCATCTGGCTCTCTCATAACCTGAATGACAATGCGCAGTACGCTTTAATTGTAGTTTTCTGCTTTGTTTTGTTGCTGCTGCTGCTGTTGTTTGTCTGGGGTTTGGGGGGTGTGTTCGTCTTTTGCTTTGCTTAATTTAGAGCTAGGGTGGGGGTAGGAGAAGGAAGAGAAACGGACGACAGGTTATATGCCACAGGGGTCTGGGGCTACAGTACAGAGGACTAGAAACAAAATGCTCAGGAGTTGAGGTCAAGGAAAAATAACCAAAGGTCTGTACATTTGGCGCACATTAGTAAATCAAATTAACTCATGCTCTAAGCTTGGATTTCTGAGGACAAGGGATTATAGGGCCTGGGAAAAGATAATTTTTTAACAAACTATTTCAGTACTATGGCATGAGCAGCATGGTGTACTCAATTTTCTTGGTATGTGTCTATTTTCACATTGTAATGTTGACAAACAACTGATCAAACTTCAAAAACAAGTTATTTACCACCTCTACGTATACAAGGTATCCCATAAGAGATAAAGCAATGAAAGTCACTACTGATAAGTAAGTAGGGGGCCTAAATACACACTCCTTGGTAAATCATCCTACAAGTGAAAAGAGGGGCGCAAACCAACAAGCCCCAAAGCAAAGCATGCTGTGGAATCTGTGCACCTCTTTACATAAACCCTACTTAAACTAAAGCAATTTCGTGTAAACAGCACTAACTAGAAATAAATTTTCCACTGCTGACTGCAGAACGCACAATAATTGACATGGAATAACTGGAAATACATCATTCTACAAATGCTACTTCTAAAATTACCTTTACGTTTGCTGCAAGGCAGTCAAGAGAAGAAGCTAGAAGAAAGAGGAACAGGTGTTTGAATGACTCATTACTACCAGTTAGCCCTGAAACTGCTGTTACATCTATTCCACAGCAGTACAAAAATTTTAGACAATGAATGAATTTTTAAAGAACTTCAATGCTCCCTTGTAAGTTACACTATCACTATTAAATCTCCCTTGAGTCACTGCAGTTCTATCTCTGAGTTTTTCTGTCCTCTTGAGATCAACAATGAGGTTTTATTTTTAATGATGCCACAGATGAAAGGGGGAAGGGTAAAACCAAACCTAAAATGAAGCAATAAGCTCAGTACCTGTAAGCAGACTTAAAGCAGCAATAAATTAAATTTGTACAATGTGCTCAGGGCCTAAAAGAAAGCAATGTAGGTCTAATACAAAATTCATATACTCTGCCTCTTCTGCCATTCTTTTGGCTTTTATAGAATCCTATTTATGCAGTAGCTCCTGCGTGTATTTTTCCAAGGTAGATACAGATGTTATATTTAGAGAAAGAATACATAAGAGCTCAGGGAAACATAATGCAGCAAAAGTGGAAATCACTATGGGTACCATAAATAATTATGAGAAGCATGAAGACCTACTACCACAGAATGGTATGGATTCCTAGACAGTGAAGTAGTAAAACACATAGAGAAAACAGTCAAAATTGGGGGACATGGTTTTGAAATAAGTATTTAAGACAATGATAAGACCATCATGGCTTCCCCCAGTGTGACTGGGGCTTTGTGATTACAAAGGACTTTTCCTTGATGGCTGATTCCTTTTACCACTGGTAGTCAAAAGACAGGCATCAAACAGGTTTTTTAAAGCCTGGGAAATTTCATATCCTCTGTCTATACAAAAATGTAAGTATCCATTTTGTCCCAGGAATTCTTTCCCGTCCCAGGCTAGGCAGGAGATCAGCAGTGCTAAGGCTCTTCACAGCTATTGCCACAAACTTGCCCTCTGCCCTGGGATCCCTTGCTACTGGTTTGTTACTCATAAGGGGTGGCATTTGCTCCCTCACTTCTCAAACTGCAGTCCATGGGTCTGTAGTTGCAGTGTCACCCAGAAGCTTGTTAGAAAAGGATCCCAGGCGCCACCCAGCCCTGCTGATCAGAATCTGTAGTTTAACAAGGGCCCTGGGTGGTTCAACTTTGAGAAGCACCGCTTTATTCCCCCTTAGGCCTAGATGAATAAGCTGACAGGTGACCTAAGCAAAAGTCTGGCTTGAGAGTGACAGGGATTCTGTCAAGTGACAAGGATCTGAGCGCAGGTCTGAACATCTTCTCTAAAAGTAGGTACGCCAACCTTGGTGTGTGGCCTGGACACACTGGAACCCTGGTTCACCACCTGCCAGGATTGAGAAAAGACAAAGGCCACGCCCAGGGTGATGTATGAGTTCTACTGTATTCAAGTCAGCATTAAGCCCAACTTGTCCCCCCACCAGAAGGGACATTTGCTATTGTTTGATTTCACTGTGATAGGAAGGACAACAATTTCATAGGCTACATGGGTAATTTTTAATTCACAGAATTTAAATTAAATGTCAAAGGTGATGAAGTACTTTCTACTTCCAATCCTATACTCTGTCCTTGGGCAGCTGCTTTCAGTCACTAAGACCTGAGTTACTGCAGACTCTGTAGCCCTTACAAGTAAACGCCGACAAGCCTGAATTAGGGAACTGTGCTGTAAAGAATGGCACAAGTCTGATCCTACCAGGAGACAAAGAAAAAGAGGCCACCACTATCCACTTCCAGCCTAAGAATTCTGGTTAAGTTCAGGGATGAATGAACTTTGCTGCCATGACCTTCACTATTAATATCATTTGCATATTTCAGTCATAAACTAAAGACCTCTGGGAGATGCCATAACCCAATGACTCAGTATGGGGTTCAGGAACTTCCCCAGGGTCCCCAAAACCTTTCAAGAAACGTGCAAGGTCAAAACTGTTTTCATAATTATACTAAGACATTATTTGGCTTTTCTCATTCCCTCACAAGTCTAAGAAAAGCTACAACAACAAGTCATAACATCACCATTCTGGTGGCTAAAATTGTATCTGTGCTAGTGTATTATATTTCTTTTAACTTCTCAGTTTTAATTTCTGATATGCTATTTAGCATTATTCACATTAGACAGACATTATTCACATCCACAATAAAAAACTCTTCGGGGTCTTCAATAATATTTAAAAGGGCCCTAAAATCTAAAATTTTCAGTCCCCTGGCCTTAACACGACTGCTTCAGATGGAGTTGGCTTCCCTCTTCCCCGACACAGAATCATGTACAGCAAACATTATGTCTCCTAACGGCCATCAATCTCCTGCCCTATCCTGTTCAGAAAAATGGCAAACAAAATAATTGTTATCTGCCAACACTACATTTGCAAGGAGTTCCCATTGGCACAGCCACTCTTGGCTTTTCCTGCCCAACCAGGAAACAGTGCGACCACAGCACCCTTACTCAGCAGCAGCAGTGCTGTGCACAGCTCCCCTCCGGAGCTGGGTGAGCTCCCAAAGATATGGCTTCTCAGCTGCCTCTGCTCCAGGGATACACTGCTGGGGACACCGCAGATGCGAGTCCTCAGGAATTAGGCCCAGCTTTCAGGGTAACTTGTGATTCCTCAGAATCAAAGACAGTAACTAGGATACACTGGTTCCCATAAAGAAATGTACAGAAATATCAAGAAACTCAAGTACCGCTTTTCATTGGAAACGGAAAGTTTGAAGATTTAGGTTTTCTTCTAGACTTCTGTGGATGAGGCTCTAATATATTCTCACCAAAGGGCTTTGCACTGTCCACCTGAAAGTAAAAAAAAGAAACAAGACTTGAGTCTATGGTAGCTGGCATTACCGTTTCCTCCTTACCCATCATGCTTTGTCCTCCTCTGTCACTGTTCAGGTTAGAAAATAACCTAAATCATAGACTCCAAGTATGTTACGTGTTATACCCAGTGGAGAAACCATTGATCCCTCTCCTCATTGAGGCTTCATTAGGCTAGGACATTAGGTATGGGCTATCAGCATAAGGAAGTGCCATTGGATACACATTATGTTCTAATACCTGGAAGGAATCAAGCACAGAGAGCAAGCAAAGCTTTGTTTCACAATCTTTTAAAACAGGACAGAGTGTCATGTTTCTAAACAATATGAATAGTGCTGCCTAAGCAAGGTCTTCCCTGATAGCAAGTGATTGCAACAAATGACCCTGTGGCCTTTCATGACCCCTTTTAGACTGTGTCTACATTCTGGCTTCAAGAAATATATTGATTTGAATTTGCAGCCTTTACAACATCAGATCTTGTAAATTTTAATGCTTCTGCTTAAAGAAACATTATGTACCATCAGGAAATCTGGTAAAGTAAAAGAATTAATATGTATAATCACTAATACAAGAGCTGGGGACATGAAAAAACTATAAGAATTTGTTAAATAAAAGAAATATCAAGGGCTGGGGATTTAGCTCAGTGGCACAGCGCCTGCCTTGCAAGCTCAAGGTCCTGAGTTTGATCTCTGGTACTGCAAAAGAGAGAGGGAGAGGGGGAGAGAGGAAGCGAGGGAGAGCAGGAAGGTAGGAAGGAAGGAAAGAAGGAAGAAATCAAGCAAGTTTTCAATGTCTCAGAAATCTAATCATATTTTAAGGTTATTTAGTCTGTAACAGCATGGACTAAAATACTTCACAAAACTTTACACAGAATGGAATGAATCAGACTATCCAGTGAACTCAAGTCAACAGTATTTTTAAGGGAACCTTGTTTAAAGATTGGTTGATAGATTTTTGCCAGATATCTTTACTTAGGCTACAAAGTTCTGTATTTTTGTATCTGTGAATCAACAGTGTCTGTAAATAGTTATTTGATAGTTTCTAACCAAAAAGCTCTGTTCTACCTACAGATCACCTTTTTTTATTTTTCTCGGTATAGGAGATTAAACCAGAGCCATCACGCTGAGCTACCACCCAGCCTACAATGCCCAGGCTGGGCTCAAATCTGTGATCCTCTTGCTTCAGTCTCCCAGAGTTTTGGCATTACAGATATGACATGCACCACCAGGCCCAGATCTAATCAACCCTGTATATATAGTCATCTCAACAGCACCTTGACCTTGACACTTAACCACACCTCCTAGCCTGTTTAAATATATAAACATCACCACTAGGGACTTTAAGTTAACATGCTATCAACGGTTTATATCCTGCAGAGTAAACTGCTAGCTAGAACATGGAATTGTGTTCATAAAGAGTATAAAATAATATAGAAGCTGTTTTAAGTAATGTTAACTGAAATATATCAAGTTATATAACTAATAGTATATATAGTATAATTGCAGCTTCATGGAAAAATACCTAAAAAGGTGAAGAAAATTCATAAAGTTAAGTTAAATATTATTTTCCACTGATGAGCCTATGGCTAACTTACTTTCTTAAAATTTCTATATTTTCCATTGCTATGTAGTACAGTAGTAAAAAAAAATTTAAAGAGATGGAAAGATCTAGAGGAATTAAATGTGGCCAATGCCTTCTATGGGCTAAATCTAAGATCCCTGTACTTAAGGGCTTTGAGTTTGCTGTATCATTGCTCCTTCCTGCAAAAACATTTTGCCTGCTCTTCAAAGTATGAGCACTGAGCACTAAGAAAAGTCTTGACACTTAACCACACCTCCTAGCCTGTTTAAATATATAAACATCACCACTAGGGACTTTAAATTAACATGCTATCAACGGTTTATATCCTGCAGAGTAAGTTGCTAGCTAGAACATGGAATTGTGTTCATAAAGAGTATAAAATAATATAGAAGCTGTTTTAAGTAATGTTAACTGAAATATATCAAGTTATATAACTAATAGTATATATAGTATAATTGCAGCTTCATGGAAAAATACCTAAAAAGGTGAAGAAAATTCATAAAGTTAAGTTAAATATTATTTTCCACTGATGAGCCCATGGCTAACTTTACTTTCTTAAAATTTCTATATTTTCCATTACTATGTAGTACAGTAGTAAAAAAAAATTTAAAGAGATGGAAAGATCTAGAGGAATTAAATGTGGCCAATGCCTTCTATGGGCTAAATCTAAGATCCCTGTACTTAAGGGCTTTGAGTTTGCTGTATCATTGCTCCTTCCTGCAAAAACATTTTGCCTGCTCTTCAAAGTATGAGCACTGAGCACTAAGAAAAGTGGAGCAATTTCTTTCAACTGGTAAAGTCTCAGCCTTTGTTACCCATCTTTAACTCCTGGCAATTCCCCATGTCTTCTTGCAGAGTAAGTTGCTAGCTAGAACATGGAATTGTGTTCATAAAGAGTATAAAATAATATAGAAGCTGTTTTAAGTAATGTTAACTGATATATCAAGTTAACTAATAGTATATATAGTATAATTGCAGCTTCATGGAAAAATACCTAAAAAGGTGAAGAAAATTCATAAAGTTAAGTTAAATATTATTTTCCACTGATGAGCCTATGGCTAACTTACTTTCTTAAAATTTCTATATTTTCCATTACTATGTAGTACAGTAGTAAAAAAAAATTTAAAGAGATGGAAAGATCTAGAGGAATTAAATGTGGCCAATGCCTTCTATGGGCTAAATCTAGGATCCCTGTACTTAAGGGCTTTGAGTTTGCTGTATCATTGCTCCTTCCTGCAAAAACATTTTGCCTGCTCTTCAAAGTATGAGCACTGAGCACTAAGAAAAATGGAGCAATTTCTTTCAACTGGTAAAGTCTCAGCCTTTGTTACCCATCTTTAACTCCTGGCAATTCCCCATGTCTTCTGAATAATGATGGATTATTGTATGTAGTCTTAATATGCCATTAATAATTTTCAAAAATAAAAAAACGAGAACAGTTGACATTTGCTGAAAAAATTCTCTGTACGAGATACCTTTATAGGAGCTTACTCTCTAAGCAGTGAATGTAGTTTAAGAATAGTTATTATTCAGTTCGAATACTCTACAATACCCATTTGTTCTGAAATATATCAAGTTATATAACTAATAGTATATATAGTATAATTGCAGCTTCATGGAAAAATGCCTAAAAAGGTGAAGAAAATTCATAAAGTTAAGTTAAATATTATTTTCCACTGATGAGCCCATGGCTAACTTTACTTTCTTAAAATTTCTATATTTTCCATTACTATGTAGTACAGTAGTAAAAAAAAATTTAAAGAGATGGAAAGATCTAGAGGAATTAAATGTGGCCAATGCCTTCTATGGGCTAAATCTAGGATCCCTGTACTTAAGGGCTTTGAGTTTGCTGTATCATTGCTCCTTCCTGCAAAAACATTTTGCCTGCTCTTCAAAGTATGACCACTGAGCACTAAGAAAAATGGAGCAATTTCTTTCAACTGGTAAAGTCTCAGCCTTTGTTACCCATCTTTAACTCCTGGCAATTCCCCATGTCTTCTGAATAATGATGGATTATTGTATGTAGTCTTAATATGCCATTAATAATTTTCAAAAATAAAAAAACGAGAACAGTTGACATTTGCTGAAAAAATTCTCTGTACGAGATACCTTTATAGGAGCTTACTCTCTAAGCAGTGAATGTAGTTTAAGAATAGTTATTATTCAGTTCGAATACTCTACAATACCCATTTGTTTCTGTGGCCCAACATTCTTTTATTGCACCCTCATCCACATCTTCACCATTCCAAAGTACTCTGAAAAATAACTTCAGGCTCACATGTCTAATCACAAATGGAGGCCTCCTTTCTCCAGAGAACTGGAAGGTATTTCCAAGGTTCACTTCAGCCGGCTGGTCCAGGAAGCAAGGCCTGGTGGAATATGGAGAGGGTGCCCAGGACTGCGTGCCTTTGGGTAGTCTGTCAAGATTATTATCCTTCAGCTTCATCTTTGTATTATTTAAGGGGAATACTGGTCCATATGATGCTGAGAAAGGCCTTCGCGACTTATATCTTTCTTCCTAAAACCAAAAAAAGAAAGACTATTTTTAAATCAAAAACATCAGTCAGGAATACAGCTATCTTTAATTGAACTTCTGAAGGCTAAGGCAGAAGATTGACCATCTCAGGTTTACAAAACATGAACTTAAGGAAAGCATTTCTCTACTTAGTCTTTTTTCAACATAATACCACCAGTATTTATAACAATAGTATAATATATTCCAATATGATAGTAACAGTGAGATGTATTTGTATTAAGACAAGGTTAGAAAGTATCACACACACACACACACACACACACACACATAATGCATGCATAGGTACATGATATAGATACTAAGAAAGAGAAAATGTCATGTGCACTGGGTCCAGCAAATTTACTTCTAAGAATGTATCATAGTAAATAACTGTGAATATACATCTACCAACAAAAACGCTTATAGTAGTTTAAAAATTAGAAACCAACTCTTGGATTGAGTAAGCAGTTGACTCTCAGCTGCAAACCCTCCTCAGCTCTATGAAGACATTGAGGGAAGGACTCTGCAAACTCCCTTTTTACTTTTCCATCTCTCTGTGAACACTAAGAGGGAAACTGTGAGGCCGGAGAGGATAGGACTGGCCACTTCCAGTTCTGAATTCTCCTCCTTCTGCCATCACCCCAGTAAGTACTCTTTACCTGAACAGAAGGAGATGGTTCCAGAACTAGCCTCACCGCGCCCTCTCAGTCACTGCACCCTCTCAGACACACTGGCTCCAGCTGCCCGAGGGCCCCTAATGAGAAATGTGGGTCCAAACCCACAGGAAAACCTTCCTCTAAGCCTCTGTGGCACCAGCAGTGAGCAGCCCTCTCCCTGGAGGTCAAAGTCCCAGCTCCTCCAAGTTCCTCTGAACTCCTGAGGAAACACTCAGGAAAGCCCTTTCCCAGAGGTCTGGATCCCATTTCTGTGGGGTCTCTTCAAACCTCTACATTTTGGGGGACATAAGTTCGTCCTTTTGCTTCTCCAGCCATAGAGGGAAAACCTGCTCCCTTAAGTTTTTCTTCCTTTGACTGGCCTAATAAATCACAGCACTTCCATAAAATGCAATACTATAAGGCCACAAAAAAGCTCTTGACTAGAGCTGGGGATTTAGCTCAGTGGTACAGCACCTGTCTCACAAGTGGAAGGTCCTGAGTTCAATCCCCAGTACCAGGAAAAAAAGAAAGAAAGAGAGAGAAAGGAAAAAAAAAAAGCTCCTGGTTGAAGAATAAAGGAATGAGAAAATGTTCATCACATAGTAAAGGGACAAAATGATTTGCAGAAACATGACCCTAATCTTTTAAAATAAAAAGTGTGGCCTTGTGTACAGAATATTAGTGTATACAAAAAATTAGCCATGCTCATCTCTAAATGGTAAGAATGCCAAGTAATCTCTTTATTTTGTCCTTTGTTGCTTATCTGTATTTTCTAAAATAACCCTGTACTTTTCCTATAAGAAAAAAATAAAAGGCCGGGGATTTAGCTCAGTGGTGCCACCACCTGTCTCGCCAGTGCCAGTGCAAGGACCAGAGTTCAATCCCTCGTATCAAAAACAAACAGCAACAACAAAAACTTATTCATTTAAAAAGTCAAAAGTTTCAGCCAGGGATGTAGTTTAGTGGGGCCACAACTACCCTGCAAGCACAAGGTCCTGAATATGATCCCCAGTATGGGGGGGGAGAGGTTAAAAGTTTGAAAATATAAACTATTAAAATGATAGAACGAAAAAATAGCCTGAAAAATTACTGTAAACACAATTAAATTGGAGAGAACAGAGACTGTATAAGGAACAAATTAAAAAGCAGCTAATGACATCCTTAAAATTAATTACTAGTCTCTCATGAATGAATACACCAGAAAAATTAACAGATTTGCACAAATTAGTGATCCTTCGCATTCCATGTTCCTTAACGCACAGCCCATATTTTCAAGGGATTTTCCAGGAGCACAGGTGAGACTTGGGATAAGCATTTTGTTTTTCTTCTTAATTTTATTCAATCTTGTTCTAAAATATTTAAAGAAGCTTTACAACTTATCTTCATTGCTTCTCTGTCTTGTTCTACAAAGAATTTCATATGGCTACCAAATTATGTATATTAAGGTAAAAGAAAAGAGAAAGCAGGATGGAGGGAAATTGAGGTTGAAGACGAGACAAAACGAAGGTAATGCACATGGATCCCTAAGACCTTTTGCGCTGAACAGAGATGGGCCACAAATGCAACGAAGTGTCAGCTTCAACAGAAGACAGTGGGAAACACTACAGTTCATAAGATCAATGAAAGCAACAGAACAATGACAACAAAAACTAGCGTAAGCTTGAGATGTTAGCCTCTAAATCACCCTGATCTCCCTTAGCAACCTTCTCCATAGCCAATACCATCTGCCCACGTAGTCAGTGGAACGTGACAGGCCGAGCAAACGGTTTGAATATAGAAATCCAAGCTGAGCAAAAACTTGCCAGGTTTCTGCTTGTTCGTCTAAACTTGGTAAACTGAGTTCGGGCTAAAAGTCTTGAAATTTGTGGAGAAAATTCAGTCATTTATATCACTGAGCTTTTTCTTATACTTACAAGAAATCTGTTTCTCTGTAGAAACACACATTCTCGGATGGCTGTCCTTGTAGAAAACTCTAACTTGGGAGCAATGCCCTAAAAATAAAACAGCATGAAAGGAGTAAATAAAATTATTGGAAATAGCTTTTTGGTCAATCTCATCCTAACCCAAAATCATGCAAGAACCTAACTGCTCTTCCATGTGGATGACATAATCCATGTACATTACTAAAATAAGAATAGCTAAACACATGTAATATATATTACGAACTAGACCCAGGCCTGTGTACTTTGATATATTTGCTCATGTAATCCTCACACACCTCTGTGAAGTGGTCCTAAGAAAATTTTCATTTAGAGATGAGGAAACTAAGACAACTTCAGCAACGTGTGTATTTAGTAATGCCAGGGCTGGCATTTAGACCCAGGCATCCTGGCCCCAGTGCCCATGCTGTCAGCTGCTGTATAAAACATGGGACCATGAGATTTAATGACATCATCTGGAGGGGAGATGGACACAGCGTCTCCTTCCCTGCCTCACTGCTTTGAAAATCTTGCTTTATGTCTTATATCAAATATGTACGTTCATCAGATTTATTTCCAAACTCTTCGTTTTGTTTGATTAACTGGTACTTCTATTTTTTACTAGTGCCCTACTAGAAGACTGGTAAAGGATGAAATAAAATAAAGACAATAAAGCATGGAAATACAAAGAAAACAGTTCAGTATAGTGTAGGATATAGATATAATTATTGAGTTGATAAACTGAGAGAAGAAATGAATGGTTTGCCTGACCTGCACATGTAATTCATTTTCACTTCTCGCAATATTTATGAAAAGAAGTGAAACAGTGGGATGAAATAAATAGAGAACTAGCACTGTGCAGTGACTAAAGTGGGACATAGTCATGCGTGACAGCCCCTGCTCCATCTCTCAGCTCTGTGACCCCGACTACATTTCTGAAATGCTCTCCACCAGCTTGTGCATTCACACCTGTGAGGAGGAGTCACAGTCCCCTCCCAAGGTGAAGGAGGACAGAACTCAGCACACTGCCTGGAATCTGCTTAGCACATAATAAACATCAGCTATTACGAAGACTGTGGCAGTTGGCATTATTTTGCATTATAGAACACAGGAGAGAGATTGAGCACATCTGTCTTTTTAGAAACTGTTTAAAATACAGTTTTGAGTAAATAAAATTATTGGAAATAGCTTTTTGGTCAATCTCATCCTAACCCAAAATCATGCAAGAACCTAACTGCTCTTCCATGTGGATGACATAATCCATGTACATTACTAAAATAAGAATAGCTAAACACATGTAATATATATTACGAACCAGACCCAGGCCTGTGTACTTTGATATATTTGCTCATGTAATCCTCACACACCTCTGTGAAGTGGCCCTAAGAAAATTTTCATTTAGAGATGAGGAAACTAAGACAACTTCAGCAACATGTGTATTTAGTAATGCCAGGGCTGGCAGTTAGACCCAGGCATCCTGGCCCCAGTGCCCATGCTGTCAGCTGCTGTATAAAACATGGGACCATGAGATTTAATGACATCATCTGGAGGGGAGATGGACACAGCGTCTCCTTCCCTGCCTCACTGCTTTGAAAATCTTGCTTTATGTCTTATATCAAATATGTACGTTCATCAGATTTATTTCCAAACTCTTCGTTTTGTTTGATTAACTGGTACTTCTATTTTTTACTAGTGCCCTACTAGAAGACTGGTAAAGGATGAAATAAAATAAAGACAATAAAGCATGGAAATACAAAGAAAACAGTTCAGTATAGTGTAGGATATAGATATAATTATTGAGTTGATAAACTGAGAGAAGAAATGAATGGTTTGCCTGACCTGCACATGTAATTCATTTTCACTTCTCGCAATATTTATGAAAAGAAGTGAAACAGTGGGATGAAATAAATAGAGAACTAGCACTGTGCAGTGACTAAAGTGGGACATAGTCATGCGTGACAGCCCCTGCTCCATCTCTCAGCTCTGTGACCCCGACCACATTTCTGAAATGCTCTCCACCAGCTTGTGCATTCACACCTGTGAGGAGGAGTCGCAGTCCCCTCCCAAGGTGAAGGAGGACAGAACTCAGCACACTGCCTGGAATCTGCTTAGCACATAATGAACATCAGCTATTACGAAGACTGTGGCAGTTGGCATTATTTTGCATTACAGAACACAGGAGAGAGATTGAGCACATCTGTCTTTTTAGAAACTGTTTAAAATACAACTTAGTTGTAAGAACTGATACTTTACCTCTCATACATGTCCATGCATCTTTCTCTGGTTATTATCTACATTTATAAATATAAATACAGCTTCCTCTAGGTTCTTTCTATTCACGCCCACAAAATTAAACAGAAACCACTTAAGAAAATACAAGAAAGCATGTTTCTACTTGTCTTCACTTAGCTGAAAACCAGCCCAGTGTTTGAAAAGGGTATTTAACAGAGAATTCGGGCAAACCAAAGTCATTATATCAGAGTAATCCCAGGCTTATTCTCATCCATTTTTATTCCCTTTTAGCTTCAGAAGAGCAATATGCCAACAACTCAGAATTAAGACAAGCATCTCACAGGTGCCCGAGAAGTAAGTGATACGCGAAGATGACATTGGAGGGAAATATGCTTTCCACCAAATCCTCAAAGATAAAGGGGAGCTTAAATTTCTAAACATTAGGAATTCTGATCAGGGCAGTCTTTGAGGAGCTGCTTGAAATATGAGAATCTGAAGCTCTGTCATCACAGGCATCATAAAAGAGGTCCTGCCAAGTTACACTCTGCACAGTACTCTCAGCAAAGTGGAGACAAGAGCGTTTCATTAAATAATAATAACAGCAATTTAGTGGGCAGCAATGGAAAAGTTGACTGGTAAGTGTGCGTTTTATAATTCACAAAGATATTACTTTTAAAATGGGGGCCACCCAAGTGACATAAAAGTCGGGAAAACTGTGAGGGTGACTACAGAGTTAGAAGGCATCAAAGATAGTACCAAGATGAATATTTTGAATTTAGGTTTACCTAATGCCTCCAAAAAGATTATCAACTGAATAGGTATGATGCCTTTTAAGATCCTTCAGTAATATCAGTTACTGAGCCTCTGTCAGTTTTTGGTCTATTAAATGGAGACCAAATATCTGCCTTGGAGAACTTGGGAATTTTTAGGGGAAAGCATCATATGTAAAAAGTTAAAGGCACAAAATAAATGAAAGATAAAATTACTACTATTACTTCTCTAGCATAATACCTATCATTAAACAAATCTTTCCCTTAACCTACATCAGAAAGTTAAAAAGCAACCTTTTTATAATTATGTGACAATGTGAATCATAACATTAAGTGAAATAACTTAGCCTGATTACTTTGCAGGTCAATCATGGACATCAGTATAATTTAATACCTTGCTGGGTGTCTAGACAGAACTAGTAACAGAGCTGGGGTAGTAAGCAAGATGAAGCTATCTGTCCAGGATCACCCAAGACAGAAATAAAACACTCGTATCTCAAGAGTATTTCCCCCAGGAAAGACAGCCTCTTTAAAAGTGGTGTTGGGAAAACTGACTAACCACGCGCAGAAGATTGAGTCTGGACCCACATATCTCACCATTCACTACACTAAAATCAAAATGGATCAAAGATGGAAATGTTAAAACAGAAGCACTTAATCTGCTAAAAGATAAAATAGGTAAAACTCTTAAAGACACAGGCTTAGGCAAAGACTTTCTGAACAGTGCCCCAGTGGCACAAGAAATAAAACCTAGAATCAATAGGAGAACATATCAAATTAAAAAGCTTCTGCACATCAAAGGAAATAACCACCAGAGTGAAGAGACAACCTACAGAATGGGAGAGGATTTTTGCCAGCTATTCCTCTCATGGAAGGCTGATATCTAGAATTTTTGAAGAATTCATAAAAACTACATCCACCAATATAAAAGACTGAATCAAAAATGGGCAAATGAAATGAACAGACATGTCTTAGAAGTACAAATGGCCAACAAATACATGAAAAGGTGTTCAGTACATCATTGGCCATTAGAGAAATGCAAATTAAAGCAACACTTAGAGTCCATCTTACTCCAGAAAGATTGGTCTTCATCAAGAAATCGAATAATACCAAACGCTGGCCAGGCTGCAGGGAGAAAGGAATCCCTCTGTGTTGTTGGTGCGAAGGTAAAGTACTACAACCACTACAGAGATTAGTATGGAGATTTCTCAAAAACCAAATAGAGAAATTCCATTATACCCACCTATTCCACTTCTAGATATCTTCCCACAAAACTTAAAGTCATCATTCAGTGATACCTGCATACCTGTATTCATAAAGGTAGAATTCACAGTAGCTAAATCTTGAAAGTGGCCCATGTCCATCAACAGACAAATAGGTAAACAAAGTGGTACTTCCACACAATGGAATACTACTCTCTCATAAAGAAGGATAAACTTAAAGTATCTGCAGGTCAATGGATGCACCTTGAGACCACAAGGTTAAGTGCAATAAATCAGACACACAAGCTTAAATATCACATGGTTGCTCTTATATGACAGCCCAAACTATAAAGAGCAAAATAAAAGACAGATCATAGGAAGTAGGGCAATCTTTTTCAAATCGGAAGAGGAACAAAAGATGGAGGGAGAAGAGAGAAAAGGAAGGGAGAAAATTTTTAAAGAGAATTAAAGAAAAATGGAAACGGAGCTTGTGCAAATTTTTGAAGGGGAGCAGGAGAGAGAGAGGAGAGAGGGATGAGAGAAAAGGGGACAAAAAAAGAATTAAGGTGTGTTCGGTACCTGTACAAACTCCCCATGATACATTAAATCCTCATGTACCACAAGCATGTAGTAATTAAAAAAAAAAAGAATTAAAGAATTTTTCTTGCAACAGAAGCCCAGATGGGTAGGATCACTTACTGGAAAACCTCTGGTTGTCTTCATGAGCAGCTCCCTATGTGTTCCAGGGTAGGAAGGTGTCAGCTTGGGCTCAGGGAAAAGAAAATCTCGTGTGTTTTCTTCATAATACGCCAGCTCTTCCCACGCTAGAAAGGACAAATAGCATAGGCGTATTGATCTACACTCCCCAAGTGTAGCAAAATAATTTAGACAGACAAGTGACAGTGGAGACAGCACTCAGGTAAACACTTTGACCCCAGCACTTGTTAGTCAAGAGAAAAATAACCTCTCTACCACACTTTATCTCAAATATATATATATTTGAGACAGAGTCTCACTATACAGTCCAGGCTAGCCTCAAACTCACAGTGATCCTCCTGCCTCAGCCTCCTGGTGAGGCTGGTGTGCCACGACGTCCAACTATATTATGGATAATTTTTAACAGCCTTTATAAGTCATGAAGAGAACAAAGATTTTTGCTTCACAAAACAAAACAAAGAAGAAAATCTATCTTTCCACTCAGTGATCTACCCATTCTTTCCTTCAACAAATGTTTACCAAGGGGACAGACTAGGATCCAGGTTGGCAGAGATCTGTTCACACAAAGGTCACGCTCTAAACTGGGGTTCGGTGTGTCTCTGATGTGGGATGACAATGGCCCAGAGAACAGTTAGAACCCGCGTACCAAGTCCAGGAACATTATGGACATCTGTAAGGTCATTTCATGGGCAGAAGCTGGAGATATTAGGACGTCCTGCAGAATTCAAGCCACTCTTGCATATCAAACAATTTTTCCCACCCTGCACGACTTTCTAACATCCTGCCAGATATCCTTTCAGGCTAAAAAATCATATGATTAGCCAAGAATTTAAATCTATCATACATATAAGTATAAAGCATAGCTGCATGATTTAAAAATACACTGAATTTTCTGAGGATGCAGGTACTGTATAAATCAAGGGATAATTTTACTATTTTTTTTTCTTTCCTAAGACCTATTTGGAATTCTGAAAATCATGCCACATCTAAATACCACATTATGCTCAACATTTACATACTTATATGCATGTTGTTTTATTATGTCACTTCTATTTTGTCCTTAGATTATAGTTGGAATAGCTTACTGATTCTTGCAATGATTTGTGTAAGCTGATTAAATTAACTACATTATTTCAGTATGGTAAAAGGGATTTTACTCATCACAAAACAAAATATTTGACTTAACAGGGTGGACGACTTTGAGCTATAGGACAGAGAAGCTGCCATCTGAGCCATCTCTGTTAGCACAGGAGGTGCAGCACAAGAAATCTGTACTGACCGTGGCCCCCCTGCAGAGGACAATCAAAAGAGTAATTGTAGCCAATGAAACCGACATTTTTTGCTGTTTGGTGACATTTTGCTTATGAGAATTCTCAGGAGGGTACTTTTTGTTATTGATCTTTTTTTTTTTTTTTTTGGCAAAGTCAGTATAGAAAATAACTTACCAAATGATATGATGGATTAATTTCTCCTTCCGACTTAGTTCATTCAATATGAGCATCGGGGTTCCATTGAGGAAAGGATCAAAGCACAGAAAGGAAGTACTATATTTTCTTGGTCACAGTATCGTTTCCACCCCGCCTTTCTAGCCACAATGGAATGGTGACGGATCTCCACTCCTCTGAAATGTACTTCCTTCTCATCCTGTTGGGAACCTATTTACCTTTCACCTTTCACTCTACATGCCGTACACTACATCCAGCCTTATAGGTCCAAAATAGGACTCGATCAGTGCTCCATCCAGCTCGCCACGGAAAACTAGTACCAGTCATCCGAGCCAAACTCTAGGATTTACCCTTGCCACTGCTTCCACTCCATATCAATCCACTGGCAAGACCTTCTGACTCGTCTCCAAAATAAATGCTCGCGCTCCCTGTAGACCCTGATCCAGAACCCACCCCCTGCCTCTCTCCCGGACCACTGCCATGGCGTGCTAGGTGATTTCTCTGCTTCCATCCTCCCTGTTCTCAAATCCATACTCCACACACTTGTTTGTCTTCAATACCTCTGACTGTGCATTTTGCCTACTTATAACCGAATAGGTTTCCCATCATAGCGGAACAAAATCCGAGCACTTTGCCCTAGCCTTCACGTCTCGATACAATCTCTCATTGTCCCTCCTACTTCATTTATTACCTCTGCCCTTGGTCATCCCCTAAATCCCTGCTCCTATTCCCTCTGTCCCTCAAACACACCAAGTTCACTCCGCCTTAGAACGTTGCCCTACAGCTCCTGCTGTACCAATGTTTCTTCCCCAGATCTGAATGGCTGGCTCCCTCCTATCACGTGACAGACTCAGGTACCTGGCGTACCGTCAGAAAGTTAGCAGCTTTCTAACTAGCAGCTCTAGTCACCTCCCTCTTTTATCTTCAAAATAATACACATCACTCATGTTTTGGTTGGTGTATTTATTTATGATCTACTTCTATGAATCCTCCATAAAAGCAGCGATGCTGGCTGCTTTTGTGTTTATTGTCCTATGGCTGGCACAGCTTTCAAGAAAAGTTTGAACTTAGCAAGCTGAAAGTATAGCACCCAGCCAAGACAATCCTCTCTGAAAAGGGGCCACACTGTTGGCATCTGTCACAGGCCCTTTGACATATCATTACAGACAGACATTTTTGCATCAAATCCCAATGACGTTCAGAGAAGAGTGATACAGTGCAGCAGCCCCAAACCTCCAGGACAGAGCCTGGAGCACGGTGGGTACTTGATAGACATAATCCTGATGTTCATCTATTCAAGAGAACACGAGGATTAAAATGAGATCATTTACTTAAGCACCTGCTTGCATTAGCCACTCAGTAAGCGTTAGCCTCCTTGAGAGTCAGTGTCCACAAATGTGAAAGAGAAAAAGACTAAATATTCTCTAAAATCTTTTTCAAGTTGATCTCAGCCTTTTTCTCCCCCGCCCCGCAGACCTGGGGATTGAACCCAGGGTCTATGCACATTATAGGCAAGGGCTCTACCATTGAGCTACATCCCAGGTCCCCCTCTCAGTCATTTTCAATTGCCTTTAGAAACGCTCATTGAGAACCTACTATGTGCCCAGAGTTCCAGACATTGGATGTGCACTAGTGAACTAGATGAATATAATTCCTTCCCTCCTGCACTTTGCCATCTACAGATGCTAATTAACACATCGGTGCATTCCTATAATCCCAGCTATTCAGGAGTCAGGAAGAATGACGTTTTGACTGCAACTTAATGAGATCCTGGCTCAAACTAAAACATAAAGAAGGGCTGGAGATGTAGTTCTGTGCTCCTTGAGTTCAGTCTCTGTGCCCCCTCCCACACACAAACACACATCAAAAATAATTAATATATTTAAAATTAATACGTTGAAGTATTTAAAAATCAAATCAAAATTGTAAGTGTTATGAGTGACAAGCAGAATCCCAAGAGTTTACTAGCAGTAAAGAGATAAAGAAGATAGTAAGGGAGGTAAGCAGGAAGGCAAATATAATTCTAAGCTCAACCTTCTGCTTCATGTTCTGTCTTGTTCCACACTCCTTTTCACCGATGCTCTTTTTCACACTGTTCCCTATGACAGGCAAGGCCTCCCATCCTTGCTGACAGTAGACTCTCCCTCCACCCAGTGCAACCTGAAAACAGGAAGTGAGGTACCAATTTCTTCACCTGTCACTAGTTACAAGTACAACTTTCTATGAAAACTCACAGTTCAGGGCTGGGGATTTAGCTCAGCGGTTCGGTGGCCTGCCTTGCAAGCGCAAGGACCTGAATTCAATCCCCGGTACCAAAAAAAAATAACTCACAGTTCAGAGATTAAGAATTCAGATGTGAAGGTCAGAAAGAGTTGGGTTTGAGCCCCTTCTCCACCTCTTCCCAGCTATGTGATCTTGGACAGATTATGTAAACCCCTTAATTTCACTTTCCATTTAGTAAATGTAAAAATCATCACATCCCTGTCTCTCAGGGCTACTGCAAGGACAAATGGCAATGATATCTAACATGCAAGGCACAGTATCTGACTTGCCTGCATCATCACGATGGCTCTGGGACACCGGGCTGACAGTGGTGGCCTTTGTGCTACCCTGCTCCCTGTGAACACCATCAGTTCCTAAAGGTGACAAACATCTAGAGGTGTGTATGATGCACCACACAGTTACACCGCAGGCTTTTCCTTTGTCCTCCTTCCTCTCATATGTTTTTGGCTAATTGTCACTGTGCCTAAAATGAGTGCCAGCTCTAGAGACAGCCCCTGACTATGGTCTCCCCTACGTGTCCCTTCTCAGCTTGATGCAGAGATGGAAACTACGCCCCTTCTTTCTTAATCGCAGTTAGGCATAGCTCTTCAGAGGGGGGAACACTACAGACAGCCAAGTCAGGTGGAAAAGTTATAGACAGTCACACAGGACTAGGCCCTCAGGAGTCAGTGCCGATGAGAACATATCAAAAACTGGCTGCAGGTGATCTGAAGAAGATTACAGTCAAAATGGCAAGATTCACATACTTCCCTAAGGAAGCCTGAGATTATCCATACCACCCTTTCGGGATTTCCCACATAAATAAGCCACGATCTCCATTAGGGTGGGCCATCCATCTCTCTCACCCACTAAGACTAAAACTACTAAGACTAAAACTAAAACAACTAAAGGGACTGGGGATTTAGCTCAGTGGTTCCGGTGCCTGCCTCCCAAGCACAAGGTCCCGAGTTTGATCCCTGGTACTAAAGACAAGACTAAGACTACAGATTATCAACTAAGATTACTGAAGTAATCCATATGCCCTTGCTACTATGGGGTCAGTACAAGTGAGGCAGATACACTTGTAATTGTATTGTTTGATTATAATTTGACCCACACTGTACCTCCCTTTGTGGCTTTGCTCTATAAAACTTTCTCAGGGAAGTGGGTTCATGAAGTGGGTTCACTGGCGGCCCATTCAGAACTCTGCCTGTTTTGCAGGAGATATTTCTATTCATCATCCCTAGTCCCCAACAAACTTTCCTACTTAAAAAAAAATAAGGGCTGTATTTAGTAAGAACTTAAGATTAAAAATAAGAGGATAAAGAAGTGAAAGCTAGCTCGTGCACTCTTTGGAATGACAAGAAAAAAGCCAGGCTGAAACAGAATTGAAAAAACAATTAGGTGATGAAACTTCTTCATACAGTCACCCTGGTTTGGTCATGTTTCAAGTGTGCAAATACCAACACATCAAGGAAGTGTGCAGCAAGAGCCTCCGCTATAAATAATGAACTATCCACTGAGCAAAGCTCAGGCCAGGTGGAGGTTGTTATGTGGTTGAAAGAATTTCAGTGGGTATGAAATAGGAAGAAAAGGGCTAAAGGTGTAGGGAAATGGGAAAAGGTAGGGGCAAGGAAATAAGGGAAAAGAAAAAATATGAGAAAATGAAAAAAATGGAAATAAAGAGTTTGTTAATGGGGAGGGGAGGAGGGGGTGAAGGGAGAGCAGGGACAAGGGGAAAAAATGAGAACCAAGACCTGTCATGTGAAGGTACAGGATCCCAGTAATGAATATAACTTTATTGTAGACCTAGATTGTACCAATAAACTCAATAAAAAGGAAAAAAAAAGAATTTCAATGGGTTAATATAAGAGAAGGTGACATCATCAATGCCATTAATGAACAATATCTCCCCAAAAAGGAAACCAATGAGAATTCAAGAAAAATGATTGATTTTTCCAGGCATAGTGGTGAATGCCTGGAATTCTAGCACTTGGGAGGCTGAGACAAGAAGATCGCTGTGAGTTTGAGGCCAGCCTGGGCTACATAGTGAGTTCAAGTCTCGCCTGAGCTACATAGCAAGACCCCGTCTCAAAACACCAAAATAATAAAATGAGTAAGATTTTAATAAAAACTGCTTCAAGAAATATCTAAAATATAGAGAGCATATCAAAATTAACAACATGCTTCTTTACAGATAAGGGAACTGAGGTTCTGAGAGTTTATGATACCTGTCACGGTGTCACATGGCGAGACCAAGTCATCTGAAACAAAAATTCTTTCCTTGCTGACATCTAGATAGTCAGCATAACCACCGAAGTGTAAATCAATCTTTGACTAAGTGAAAGGGTGTTCTCTTAAATAGGATCTTACAGTTATAGTGAATATATATATGATTTACCCAAAAAGAAAGTATTTACACAGGAGATCAATAAAAAGAAAGCACCAAATTCACCATTGAATAGGATGAGGCTGCCCCCTTGTGTCCACTGCTTTTTTCTACCTTTAGAAACTGAAGAACTAGATGGGTCTTTATTATGTGGAAACAAAACCATTGGACTTATTTATTCTTTAGTGGTAAAACCATACGCAAATCTGAGTATTATCACTTCTGTCCGCACCTTAATGGTCAATTGTCTTTTGACTTCTAGTGTGTTTGAAAGTGACGTAAAAAAAATCAAACAATACAGGCTATCAAACAGTAAAGTACTAGCAAAATGGAAAGATAACAAATTCTGGTTCAGCTGAAGGCAGGAGGTAGGAGAGACACAGGTAGAAAGTAAGAAGCAGAGAGGAACTTTTTCCAAAAGCCAGGCCCAGCCCCAGGTGAAAGAGGACCATGCAAGGTGCTGGTGAAGATGCAGTGTGGCTGTGAGGACACAGGCCACACAGCTGCAGACTGTGGATGGCAGAGGTAGTCCCAGAATGGCCCCATCAGACATCTGGGACACAGCCTTCCAGGTGAGTGTAAAAACCAGCGTTGGCCCCAGCCAGCTCTTCTCACGGCTACTCTGTGGCTGGCACAGACACATTTAAACGTTCCCAGCTGCAGTCATCTCTGGAGGGACCTAGGGAAAACAGAGACCACTGAAATCTATGTCCTTTGACAAAAGAGCTGTTCTGGCCAGAGCAGACCGGGGCAGGGGCTGTCATTCAGCTCCGACAGTACTCCGGCTACTGGTGCCAGGGAAAACAGACACAGGGCCTGCTTTCCTGGACAAATAAACAAATACGTGTGTACTATAATTACAAATTGAATTTAAAAAAACGATGGTACCATAAGCAAGAATAAATGGAAATCCTGCCTTCAAAAAAAAAAAATAACAAATCAGCCAGTGGAAAAAAAAACTTATCCCTGAGGATCCAAATGTGAACCATGTGACCCCACACATGAGACCTCTTGCAAATTGCTTTTGCCCAATTGGTTAGTGTCAAGGACCAGCACATCAGGAGGGTTCACTGCTGCTGCTATGTGCCTGGTGTCAGTCACATCATACCAGGAAGAGTGCCACAGTGCAGACCATGTGTAAATTACAGCCTCAGTAATATATGTAGAACAAAATAATGGATTAATTTGCATAGCATCCGAAGCTGAGTGAAATTAAATGTTATTTTGAGCAATTCAAACACAATTCCACCAAAATTACAATCTGAAATTGGAGGACTGCAGACAAAGAGAAAAGCATAATAAGGCTCCCATATTGCATCTGATTAACTTGCAAGTTATAAATGTATGGATAGACTAAACTTGAATATTCTCCAATCATCATTATTTTCAAACAACTACTCTTGCAACCTTTCACAGATGGCTTTCTGGTCACATCAAAAACATACAGCAATTCAAGATATATTAAATTTTTAAAAGAGGTTGCAAAATGTGTATATTCTACATATACACCTAAATACCTAAATATAATATAGCACATATGTAGCATATATAATACATACAGGTGTATACAGGGTTGCTTGAATATACTAAATGTATTATATACACTAAATGCATTTCAAAGGTTCTAAAAATATAAAACAAACTTTAAATAATTATCTGTCTAGAGTTTTGAGTGAATGGGGTTTTGATTTTTTTTTTTTTTTTTTTGGTTTTTTGAGACAGGGTCTCACTATGTAGTTGAGACCGACCTGGAACTCACTATATAGCCCAGGCTGGTCTCCAACTCACAGCATCCTCCTGCCTAAGCCTCCCAAGTGCTGGGGTTACAGGCGTGTGCCACCACACCCAGCTTTTTTAATTCTATATACTGTGTTAGCTAAAATTTTTACAGAGAGGTATATTATAGTTATTGGGTAATTTTTTAATTCATGCAAAATTAAATAAGACCAACAATAAGATCAAAGATTGGCTACCAATATATAACTTGCCCATTAACAGTGATATATGTTTGAAAATAAAATTGGGTCACAGAAAAAAAAATTATGGAAAAAAAAATCCAGTGGCCTGATTTTAGCCCTTCAATCTTTGGCTGAAAAACTTTAGTGAAAATTTCTGAATAACAGGTAGGAACTAACTGCTCTGTTCTGTCTACTAAGAAAGTAATGACACATCCAAGAGTGTCTATGACTAAATTGACAAGACTGTCTGTGCCTTTGGGACCAGGGAGGAAAAAGCAGAAGAAATA